TGATATAAGTTATCATTATTAGTGAGCAAGGATGCGATGATAGTTCCAGCTACATGTATTTACAGCGTTTGAAGATTTGCTCTAAACTCCTTAGACATGGGCCCTTGATATAAATATTATTACTTCCAGTCTTACAAATTAGGCATTGGCAAAGTGATAAATAGACTTAATCTCTCTTGTGCACCATTAACCCTTTAAGTCCCAACAGTGACCAACATCAATTTTCTCCTAACAATATCCATACATTGTCAAGAAATAAAGTTATGAGAATTAATGAAATAATCACCGAAGAGAAAATGCCAAGATTGTTTATCAAAATCTCTCAACTGATTCTTAAAGGAAATGTATGGAGATCAGTTTGGAGAATTTGTAAATGGATGTTGGGGCTTAAAGGGTTAACAACGATTCCGTGCAAAATTTTCAGATATTTGTTCCAATCATTGAAGCTCGTTGTTAGGAGATTCTTGGTCTTTCTGTAAAGTGTTTTGTGATAAACAGGAAAATTGATTTGGAGGGGGTTGAGAAGAATAAGGGATGAGCATAGCCAAGATACAAAAACCCCAGTCACCTCTTCGAGGGGCTTTAAAGCTGTGCACAAATGCCCCACCCTAGGGGCAATTCCAGATTTTCGTTTTCTTGAAAAAGCTTAAAATCACTTGTTCATGCGTGGATAACTCATGCGAGTCCTAATTCTAAGTAAAGGAAACAGCAAAGAAAATTCAGTTAGTGACGAGGGTGTTTATCCGATATTTCAAACAATAAGGGTGTTCTTTCACGGAGTGATTGAAGACGAGTCTGCAGTTTAATGTAAAATCATTCACCATGTTTACGGACCTTTCAACAACATAAGTGTACCAATTGACGTAATGATCAGTGGTAAAAAAACGAACGCTTTTTACTGTAGGACGATGACCTCATCATACATGTACCAAAGGACGTCTTCACTCTGGCATCCTCTATTTCAAACTGTCAAAACCTAATTTTCTCTGCTCGTCAACTCAAAAATGCCTTTAAGAACAATTAGTGGCAATGTGCTTGTTAGTAAGAGGTCCAACATAAGGAAACATTCATACATGTAATCAATTTGGTCAATGCATTAATAAAGGGAGACATTCTCCTTTACCGGTAGGGACAGAGTTCAAAAGCTCAAAAGACTTATTTCAGCTCTAGCATGTGTTGTCTAGCGATTTGCCTTGAGCTTCTCTGAATTTTCCAGATCAAACAAGCTGTGCCCATCGTACGTAATCTTGTCTGGGCTCCCTTGAAAAATTGCACTTGATCAGAAGCCTTCAAGTTCCCGCCGCAATAACTTCATCATCTATTTTAATGGGTGGTTTTCTGGAATTATCCTAGTTATCCTTTCTGGTCATCACTATATTAGCGAGCACGTTTAACTTCTCTCCAGAAAAAGTCTCTATCAGGAGCATAGCCAGGATTTTCTACTTGTTTCCAGCTGTGCACACAATTTTCAAAACTATACCCTAACTTCTTACTCAGTTCTCCCGTAACGTTTCCCCATTACATTTGCTAATTCTGTTAACTAAGTGAGGTTATGCGTGGATGAAATGGCACTTGCAATCGGTGAGAAAATTAGGTTAGACACTTTGCCCTCAAGGACGGCTCTCACGTTTTGCTGGCACTCTCTACCTTAGAAAGGAAAAGTGGAGCTTTGCCTTCCCCACTCCCTGTAAACAATGTCGTTCGCCTGCTATCCAACTATCCAACTTTAATTTTTAATAAAGGTACCGTATTTACCCGCCGATAGGCCGCACCCGTGTATAGGCCACACCCCAAACTTTCAATGGTTTTCATGGGAAAAAAAAATAGTGAGGTCGAGTACCGGGATAAATAAACCGAAGTTTGAAATCAACAACAGCTAATGCGTATCAAGTCAAATTTATTTTTGACAATAATTTCTACATGAACGTGAAAATATTCAAACTATAAACTGAAACACCTTTTCGCTAACATTTTATATACAGCATACTTAAAGACAAAATCAAGATTCTTCAAAGATATGGACTTAGTGTTTAGTTGCATGTGTTGTAAGTTAGTCACAATTGAAAGCAAACATTAAAACGCCAATTTAGTGTACGTCACCGTGAGATCTCTTGCATATTAATGAGGTGTCAAAACACTTGTACCCGCGTATAGGCCGCAACCCTAATTTCGGTCCCATTTTTTCGGGAAAAAAGTGCGGCCTATCTGCGGGTAAATACGGTACATGGGTAGAAATTCAAATTGTTTTCAAATGTTCTTCAAAATGTACGCCATGCAAATGGTCTCATGAGGCGTTTGTGATGTTATAAACTATTTGAAGCGGCCCTTTTTTACGGCTTATGTGCGTTGGTGAAATTACAACTTGGGTTTTCTTGGATTGAAAAGGGCGGGCTCTTTCTAAATGTGGCGTTGTTTTTGGGACCTCAGTATGCAGAATCAGTCGATGGGAACCAACGAAAAGGCTTTTATGTGTTAAGTTACAGTGATGAACCTTGCCTTGAGATGGTCATATTTTTGTACGTACCTTCAGTGTTGGTCTGAAAATATTTTGTTATGGATTTGTTGCGGGGCTGGGGGGGTGCAGGGGGAAGAGAGATCAGAGACATTAAAGCAATGGAAACTGTTATTCTGGGGTTGCACGTGACGTCACCAAAAATCAAACTCAGAAACTATCGATTCTTCTGAGTTTCTACTTTCACGGGCTATTACAGTACCTAAACACCTTTACATAAACAAATTTTTGGTTCGAAAGGGTTCTTCGTTTTGCGAGAGAGGACGCTTGAATTTCCAGGCTTTTGCGTGACGCGGCATTTAGCTGGCGGCCGGGAAAGCTCTTATGTGGGTTAAAAACATTACCGATTTTGGGAGATTTTGCAATCTAAACATTCCTTGTCTCAGAATAAATAATACTGTAATCTTTATGAGTTCCTCAAGCGAAGAATTCGCGCGTTAGTAGGAAAACTCGAAAACAGATGTTTCTGTTGGTATCCGGCGGCCATATTGGTGTTCCTGAAAGGGACACCAACATGGCGTTTCCATACAAAGCTTTATAAATTTTGGTAAACCGTTTTTCCCAATATCTCGCATTTGAAATGTTTCACAGACCTGATTCTTGGCAAGAGTTTTTGTATATTTATCTTTTTTCATTTCCCAGATTCTAGTCCTTCTGTATTGAATGGTTTGCATTTTTATTTTTCATTGCATGACAGTGCAAGCCGAGAATAACAGTCTTCTAAAAATCAAAATAGTTGCAAATGCTTACAGGAGGTCCTAACTATCTAATGATGAGAAGGGCAATATTTGGAAAGGTGCATGGTCATGGAGTTAAGGAGATTTAATCAGCCAATTTCCCGCCAAACATACTGGTGTGGCCAGTGGCGCCAAAATTGTGTTCGCTCGCCCCGGGCTGGCTAAACTTTTGGGATGTGGTCATGGAGTTATAAACAATGAGATGATCATCTATATAGCCTGCTCGCCCCAGAGTGACTGCATTTCGCTTTTCAGAGACCCATCAGTTACTTTTTGACCCTTTCGAATCAGAATTTATGTCCATGATGTAATGCTGGTGGTGAGGTCAGTCTACAAGCAGAGGCGTGAAAAACACCAATACTTTATAGCCTTTACATTCAAAACATTTCTAGCTATCTGGGAAAAAAAAAAGAAGCTTAAAATATCACCATAAAATGTCATTTCAAATTTCACTTTGTCACCATTTGAAAATTATTGTGAATCACTCTGTGAGTAACAAAATTTATAATTTTCATTTTAGTGCATATTTGAAGCTCTTTGCAACATCAGAAACAAAAGATCATCTTTTTACATTACAAGTGAGGGTTTTTTAAGCGATAGATAGGTTCTAAGAGGCACGATCAATTTTTAAGAATTTTCTTTTCAAATATTCACCGAATTAATTGTTTGGAAGTTTTAGCGGTCAAGTGGCTGAACCATTGTGCATTCATGCAATTATCGTTCTGTTCTATTACGTTTGCCCAATTATTTTATTCAACAGTCTAACTTATCTATAAACAAACTATGTTTAGTTAAAATGGGTTAGTCTAAATCCATGTGGCATGGGTGATTTTGACCTCGCAATTTCTACCAAATTTGTGTACCTTTTAAGTACCGAAAAAGTGCTGTGAGAAGTTTTATCTGTTCATAGCTCAGGCTTAACCATTTTCAGCGAAGAGTAGGTAAAAGAAAGGAGGAAGGATAGTTCTTTGCAACTGTATGAGTCACAATTAAGTTAAATTTTAATGATAAGGCTAGAATTAATTATTGTAAACCTCCTTCAGTTTACCAACGTGGCGGCCACTCGAGGCCTCGTCAAAACTGTCATACCTGTATCTTTGAAACCAAAGAGAATTCAAACCTTAGAATATGTATTCAGTATTTAGGACACCATTCTAAGACTACATGCCAACAATCAGCCAAATCGATGAGGTATTATGTCAGGCCGAAGTTCCAATTTTACAGAAAATCACTCTTGCAGGGCTCAAATCTCCTTTTAATAGCTCACTTTGGAAAAGAGTGATAGCCTGGGAACGAAGTCGCGCCGCAAGCACTTATGGGATTATTTGGGGGGACGCTCAAGCCAGCCATCTTAAATTATGCCTAAACACAGGAGTTGTTGTGTGCCCTTGTGCACCAATAATTTCAGGAACTCTACTGGAATGACGTTTTATCGAATACCCAAAAAAGAAAGTGTTCGCCGGGAATATATACGTTTACTTCGGAACGATAATTTAAAGTTAGAGTCCGACAGCACACGCGTTTGCTCTGCTCACTGGACCGGAGGTAAAAAGCTCAGCAGAGAACACCTTCCATCGATATTTCCTTGGAGCAAAAAGAAAACAGAGCGGCGGGTTTTGTCCCGGACGGAATCGACTACAAACGTAGGAGGTAAGAAAAGGAAAGCCGATGTTTCTACTACCGAAATAGACCAAGGTCCTCTTTTTGACATTGATCATGAGGAAACCATTCAAGCTTCTTTCTGCGATGCTGCGACGCAAACTGAAATCACTGTAGAAATACTGGATCAAATTGAATCGGAACTTAAAGAAATCATAGAGAAGAAGGACAAGGTAGCAAGGGAGAGAGACGAGTTATCGAGCGCGACAAAGAGACTTCAACATTTAGTGAAAAATCCGAAATTTGACATCTCAAAGTTTAAGGGCAATGATGAAGATGTTGAATTTTACACAGGTCTTCCACACTGGGATGCACTTATGCTTCTTTATGATATGGTCAATCAGAAAGCACAGAACCTGAACTATGGCAGTTATGAAAAGAAAGGAATTGGCTCCGAGCAAAAAGCTAGGTAGACCTAGAGCACTTACATTATTTGAAGAGTTTGTGTTGACTCTGATGAGACTTAGGCTTGGCTTGTTACAAAAGGATCTTGCCCACAGATTCAATGTTTCTGAAACTACTGTGTCTGTTGTATTTAACACTTGGGTTCGGTTTATGAGGATTGAACTGGAGCCTTTAATTTGCCTTCCCAGGAGAGAGCTTTTACATGAGCACATGCCAAAAATTTTTAAGGAACTTTATCCAAGAACAGTTCTAATAATCGATGCTGTTGAAATTCGAGCAGAGAGCCCCTCATCACTTGACATGCAGTCAGTGTGTTATTCTTCATACAAGGGCACAACAACCATGGGGATGATGTCATGGCAGACAAAGGATTTGACATACAAGATGACTTTGCTGCAAAGGGGGTAACTGTAAACATACCCTCTTTTCTTAAAGGAAAAACTCAGTTCAGTGAGGAAGAAATGGCACACAACAAAAAAGTTGCTAGCCTAAGAATACATGTAGAGAGATGCATTGAGAGGATGAAAAACTGGCATATTTTTGACAGCAGGATTCCCATAACATTGGCCCCTATTGCTAGTGACATGTTTATAATCATAGGGGCACTTACAAACTTTTTGCCACCTCTCATTGATTAAATTGCAATGATATTTCACTTTTTAAATTCGTCGATTGTTTGAAAAACACAACAACAAAGTTTTGGCAATAATAGTTGGAAAATTTGCCACAAAATGGCTTTTAGTCTTTCATTTTACTGAAATTGAATTAGATACTTTAACCTGGAAATGTTATTGTTTTATTTTACTGTCCCATTCTCATTAGCTGAGAAAAAGAAGTGATTTACAGCAAAAATAGTGCGATTCAGGAATAAATCACACTGCTTAGAGCCAACAGATTTCAAGGATAACCAGTGATCTCAAAATGGATTTGATAAAAACATAATTTTTTCAAAGTGGATACTGGAATTTTATTGAATGATAACCTCTCTAAATTTTTCTCAACTCCAATAATATGAAAGACTGTTCCTTTACACTTTGATCGTTACTATGTCCTGGATATTTGAATTCCTTCACTTTTAAATAAGCCATCCACAGTAAAGATTTCATTAAAGTAAACAATGGGTTTGGAATATCATTTTAGATTAATGTACCTTAGAGGCATTTTCTTAGAGACATTTTCTGAATTTGTACCCATGATTAATAGCAATTGCTTCTTGTTGAGGCTGGGACAGACCAAAATACAATACCCAAATGCCGGGAAAAGGTCTGTTACAATTGCCTATATTGTTACAAGTGACAATGTTCCTGAAGCAACTTCAATAACGTACAAGATTAGCAAATTAGTATTATGTATGTCATCAACAGCCTCTCAAGTCTAATCTTGAAAGACCAATTTAACACGCGGATAAGCAAGTTCTACAAGAATGTGCTCATTATAAAATGCCTCAAGTTTTGGAAGTACTGAGGTCCAGAATTCACGATTAAAGTTGACTGTTGAAATGAAAACACCATCAGTGTCTACAATTGATCTGTCTGGAAGATCTTTAACTCCCTTTACCACCAGATCAACCCATGATTTCTGTGCAACAAACATCTGTTGCTGCACTTGATAGTGATACTTGTGTTTTTGGTTGATGACCAGGTGTCCATCCGTTGAACCAGGAAGAAAGATTCTTTTTCTGACAAGTGCTTGGTACAAAGTCTCATTCTCCTTTAGGAAGACAATTTTTATTTCAACAAGTCCACTTGAATTTAGCTCAGTGGAGTCAGCATTGTATACTAAGCCATCTGGAGATGCGGCGAGGTAATTATGAGATTTGCTGATGAAAAGTCCACATGGTTGCACTATTACATTTTGATTGTCCAGTTTCTTTGATTTGATGTATTCAGCAATAACAGCACCTTCCCTTGACAAACCCTCTTTCATTGCCCTTGTTTGAGGTATCTGCTTGTAATGTAAGACCTCTTCAATGGCCTTTGTTGGGGAGGTAGTTGCTTGCAAAGTGGCAATTCGATGGCATTTTGACGCAGTTATTCTTATTTTTCGATGCAGATTCCAGTTTTCATTTGCTGATTGACCCACTGTCTCTTTTTCAATTCGATCAACATCCTTTTCATCGACAAAAAGCCTTTTCTTAAGTTTTATGCATCTTTCCTTTATTTCTTCCAAACTCACTGGATGGCACTTCACTGGTGATAACAGTTCAGTTGACACTGTACAAATGTTTCCTTCTGTTTCAACAGGTTCAATGGGAGTCAGAGGTGTGCAATAATTATGTTCAACTGAAATCCTTTCTTTATTCTCCTCCAAAGTTTTCTGTGGTAGAATTAGACTCAGTGCCATCTTTTTGCCTGTCTTTTTCTCAATTTCCTTGACATGATGTAACAAATTGCTAGCATCAGTGTTTAGACTTGGGTTCTGCTGGTGTGGTGCCCTGACATCCCTTGTTGATGGTAGAGCTTTATCCTCACTTTTGTGAGGTTTTCCATGCTGATGCTTTCTAAATTTGGCCTGTGAAATTGGCAGGTTGTCAACTTTCCTTTTTCTTGGGACATTCCATACACATGGCTTTGAAGTGCATGATATTGCAGGTGTTAAGGAAGGATTCACAGGTGCTTTACTTTGTTTGAAGAACTCTTCCAGTGCAAACAGTGTTGAAGTTACATGGTTACATCTGCCATCTATTCCAGCTGGGCAACCATCATAAGCTGTCATCACCTTGCCACATTTGTTCAAAACAATATAGCAATTATACAAAACAGTCTTTTTCATTGATGGAAGAACTTGACTTTTTATGTAAAATTTTCCGTCAGACTCCCTGCATTTAATGCTAAGGACATGGCCAGATTTAAAAAAGTTGTATCCCTTGACGAGAGGTTTAGCAGTGGATAATTGCTTCTTAGCATCACTTTCTTCAATCATATACCTCCATATTGTACCAAATGATATGGCAGGTAGAATATTTAAATCTTCTGTAAAGCCATCTACTGGAAAGTTTTCTTTGAGTTTCTTGGCGTTAATTTCCTCCATGAGTCCCAGGCTAGCTTTAGCTTTCGCTAAATGAATTCCACCATCAGGGTCCTTAATCTTAGAGCTTAGTCCACCAGCAATATAGTCCTTTACTCTAAAACGAAAAAAAAAATACCAAAGTAGGTACAGGCGATATTCTTGGAATATCATGGCTTAATAACGTAACGAAAAGAACAGGGGCAGTAATAAGAAGTTTTCAAATGGCCCTTAAGTTCTCCTACCTTTGAACAAGCTGCATTTTCTTCCCAGTTGTTTTAGCTCCACGGCAAAGGAGCCATCGCTGCAGCTGTTTTACGGTACATTCTTCTGGTATTTTTCGAGGTAAAATTGCTCCAGGTACATCTTCTTCTCTTAGATATGTGCTTTCTGATTTTCTAGTTTCGATAACTTTGATCTTATTACTATCTACTTCCGTTAAAATCTTGCTGTCATCACTACAATCACATTCCGCACTCAATTCCTCCATGTTTGTTTTTACCGCGTCCCCCCAAATAATCCCATAAGTGCTTGCGGCGCGACTTCGTTCCCAGGCTATCACTCTTTTCCAAAGTGAGCTATTCACAACAGGCAATTTGAAAGTTGCTTTTCCCATACAAATGCTTCTAAGTCTCGGCGGCTGTTGCAATCGTTACTTTTGAGATATATGCCTGAAAATGCTTAGGTTACTTAATACCTTAATATGCTCTTTCAGCTTGTGCTAACAAACTTTTTCAAAAGTGGACTGTTTTCATGTTTATGGAAAGTTGATCATGTGATCAAGTTATGCAAAGAACCTATTGCAGAAGAAGTGGAAGTATATCAGAGACCTTAGATTACCTGGCCTGTCACTAGCCATAAATACGGACAGACCGTGTTGCCCAAGAGAAAGAGCTAGGCTACAGGGGTAAATAATGATCTAATATTGCCTGAGGGGGTACCATAGATTTAAGGCCAGTGGAATATAAGAGCAAAAATCCATTGTCCTCCCTACTACAACTGAAAGAATCCCTGGACCAAAAATTAAATCTCAAAATTCCCCTGCTGAATTGCTGAATTCTCAAGAATTCACTGCGGCAAAACAGAATTCCTGAGACAATAAAGTAAAAACAATAATCAAGACATCAATGCATTGCTTAAGATAGACAACCCCAAGGCACTAATTACCCTAAATTGCTCAAATTAGCCCCCCTCTCCTCCCTCCGCCCCTCAAATAGGCACTCCATTCAAATAAGTACCACCCTTTTAGGCTTCAAATGTTAAAATAAGAAAAAAATAATATAAAAATATTGTAAATAAAAATGCAATCTTTGCATGATGAAGGCATCTCAAAGATTAGTCAAATATAATAATTTATTATGATTTCATTGCACTTGTTTTTCTATACATCAAGGGCCAGCTGTTTGGTTAATTTAGTTGGTCATATTTGTTAAGGAGGTTTTTTTAATTTTACTAAGATGTCGTTGCAAGATCTTTTCAGTGGCATCCATGTCTCGTCCATTTCTTTGTTGTATCTAAATGAAAGCAACGCTAAAAACTCCCAATTTCACTAAAATCAAAAGTTAATGGGAACATTGATCTGTAGTTTTGAGAAGGTTTAGTGGTGTAACTCAATCGAACATGATGCAAAGATTTTGGAAGGTTCTATAACACTATGTGGATCTTTTGAATTCTCAACATCCTGTCAGAAAATCTAAGTTTGGTACATGCGCAGTAATAGGATAGTGTTTGTGTAAGCTTCCGTCTCTCCCCTTCATATAAGCGGCCACCTTTAACACCCTGCCTTACTAAATACATGGTATACTGGACTTTTATCTTTCAAAAGGGTGGCAATTAAAAGTTACAGTCACAAGAGATTGGGGACATCACAGGATCAGATGTTAATGACTCTGCAGCTCCTCTGAATAATTATAGTGCTTGAGGATAGTTTTAATGGTAAGTTCCAAGCTAAGGACATGATCATAACACACTTGGGTATTTATTGAAAAATGTGTTGTAGTTTCATTGCTTAGTTTTTTTGTCTGTGTGAAAGAAAGACAAATGCTATCTTGAGGCTGAAATACTAAAAAATGAAATAAGTGACCCCTTCAAATAAGTGTTTCCCCCTCAAATAAGCATAAATACAACAAATAGGCATCCCCATTGCCTGCCACTGAAAATCAATTAACCACCCCCTCCTGGGATTATTTCCAGATCCGCAGAAATCAAATCATTTGTCACCTTATGATGTAATATAATTATTATATTACATGTACCTGATCACAAACATGTTCACGTACCCATAATACACATCCCATACGTAGCCACAATTGGGAATCAGTGTTTCTAAAGGCCTTTATTCCAAACAGTCTGAGCAGTACACAATAATGACATCATTTGTTGCCTTGTATCATGGTCAGTGATTTTTTTGTTGTTTGTTGTATGTAGTACACTACTGAAAGTATGTGAAAATCTTTTAGTGACACCATGAAACTATACACATATTGCAGATTAGAAATTGCACGCGATGAATTCTGTTCCAAAATGTAGACGTGTTGGGATCTTAATCTTCTAGGAAGGGACCCACTGTTGTTTGATTCAATATTATAAGTGACGACCTCCCTAAGATGACCTGACTCAATCTTTGCATTCTTGGTGGTCATCAACAATAGTTTAGACTGAATTGAAATGAGAAAGAGGAGACACTTAATGGAAGAAAATGTTAGCTAGTTAAAAGCAGAAAAGAAACCCTTGAGCTTTATACAGCAAGGAAAGGGGAAAGTTTATTGTCATTTTGATTCTTTTAAGTCGCATGCAAGCAGATGGATCACTGCCTAACTAATGACATTATCAACAGAATTTCCCGCAGCATTACTATCTTTTAGATACCCTAGTCTACTAATAAAAGATTTTTTGAATCCACTAACAGCATCTGTTCTAGATTTCTTTTATTTTGATTCTGTAAAATTCACCTATACTGTAATATGATTTTGATTTTTCTATACCAGGTCACTATTAATTTGTTATTTCTAGATGGTGAGAAGAACTGTCGAGACTTTTTATTAACAATTTGAAACATGGAGCATTATTCCAATACAAAATTGAGAGCTTACTTAAAATATGAAGATGGATTAGCAGTTTTGGATCTAAAAGAGAAAGGACTATCCAGGGTACCTGATGCAGTCACTCAACTGAGTGAAATAGAGAATCTTGTGCTGAAAAAAAATAACTTGATTAAATTACCAGCAAGTATCAGCGAGCTGAAAAATCTTATTGTGCTCAAATTGAATAGCAACAATATCACTGAACTACCTGCTGAGATTGGTGACCTCAGGGAGCTGAGGTGGCTGTGGGTGAGAAACAACCAGTTGGTTGGTTTACCTACCAGTATACAGAGGCTGACCAAGCTTGAAAGGCTGGACTTGTATGGAAATAAACTAACTGAACTACCTGCTGAGATCGGTGACCTCAGGGAGCTGAGGTGGCTGCTGGTGAGTAACAACCAGTTGGTTGGTTTACCCACCAGTATACAGAGGCTGACCAAGCTTGAAAGGCTGTACTTGGATGGAAATAAATTAACTGAACTACCCACTGAGATTGGTGACCTCAGGGCGCTGAGGTGGCTGTTGATGAGCAACAACCAATTGGTTGGTTTACCCACCAGTATACAGAGGCTGACCAAGCTTGAAGGGCTGTACTTGGATGGAAATAAACTAACTGAACTACCTGCTGAGATTGGTGACCTCAGGGAGCTGAGGTGGCTGTTGATGAGCAACAACCAGTTGGTTGGTTTACCTACCAGTATACAGAGGCTGACCAAGCTTGAAAAGCTGTACTTGAATGTAAATAAACTAACTGAACTACCTGCTGAGATTGGTGACCTCAGGGAGCTGAGGGAGCTGTTAATGAGAAACAACCAGTTGGTTGGTTTACCTACCAGTATACGGAGGCTGACCAAGCTTGAAAGGCTGTACTTGAATGGAAATGAACTAACTGAACTACCTGCTGAGATCGGTGACCTCAGGGAGCTGAGGTGGCTGCTGGTGAGTAACAACCAGTTGGTTGGTTTACCCACCAGTATACAGAGGCTGACCAAGCTTGAAAGGCTGGACTTGTATGGAAATAAACTAACTGAACTACCTGCTGAGATCGGTGACCTCAGGGAGCTGAGGTGGCTGTGGATGAGCAACAACCAGTTGGTTGGTTTACCTACCAGTATACAGAGGCTGACCAAGCTTGAATTGCTGTACCTGGCTGGAAATAAACTAACTGAACTACCTGCTGAGATTGGTGACCTCAGGGAGCTGAGGTGGCTGAGTGTGAGTAACAACCAGTTGGTTGGTTTACCTACCAGTATACAGAGGCTGACCAAGCTTGAAAGGCTGGACTTGAGTGGAAATAAACTAACTGAACTACCTGCTGAGATTAGTGACCTCAGGGAGCTGGGGACGCTGAGTGTGAGTCATAATCCTTTAACTGTTGACGCAATAAGACGTGCATTGAAGTTAAGAAAGAAAGGAGTACTTGTAGATGGTGTTGCAGGTAAGCACGGCGGATATTATAGTTATTTAGAAGTTCGAAAAAAACCGAGATAAAATTCCACTATTTGCCTGGGAAAGGGAAGTCATTTTTTTTTTCAGTTATCGGGGGTTTCGCGAATTTAAGGGTTTGATAAATCATTAAGATATGCTACAAACTGTACTTTCAAAATCAATGGTAAATTTCTTGTACGTATTAATTCATTTTAATTAATTCGTCTGTTTTAAAGTTTCAAATCAGCTGTGAAAAATAGCTATTATCCAGGGTGCACCAAACATTGTAAGCTATTGTACTCCTTCACACCCTTACTAAATGACTCACCGGTTGCGCTTGGAAGTAGTGGGCGAAAGAGAGAACGGGCTCGCGTGTCTCCTTCTCGCGGGCCCGTTTTTTCTCGTGCCCACTACTTCCAAGCGCCTGCTATGCAGGCTACACCGTTAGTGTTTTCACGAACTTTCAGAGGGAGAGAAGCGATGACCGAAAATACGTCTGCTGTTCGCAGACTAAAGAAATACGAGCTGACCCCTAAAAACGCCTGCGGGGGTTACCTGCGAACAGCAGACGTCCTTCTAGCCTGTTCCAAGCGTTCAGATAGTGGAGAGCGGTGCGGAGTAAAGAAAGCGATGAAAAGTAGAGGGGGACTGGAGAGAGAGGTCCAAGCGTTCAGATAGTGGAGAGCGGTGCGGAGTAAAGAAAGCTCCCCACTATCTGAACGCCTGGAACAGGCTAACGTCCTTCCGGTCGTCGCTTCTTTATTTTTCGGAGGGACAGAAGCGACGACCGGAAATACGTCTGCTGTTCGCAGGCTAGTATTTCTTCGGAGAGGGAAGAAATACGAGCTCCCCTAGAAACGCCTGCGGGGGAGGCTATGTTTTCACTGTGGTCGATTTGCTGCTGAGCGGAACACTTTTTCTTGGTGATTGTTGACATACCGACGATTACTAGCTGTTTTCACTTTTAAATTTAGCTCGGAAGAACTCAGAGGATTCAAATTTAAAAAGCGCGCCACATTAAAAAATGTTAAGAGACGAAGCGCTTTGAATGTGTTTTCGTTTAATGCTTCTTGCTATTTTATGAATGCAGTTGAATAGTGTCTCTAAAGAGTAAGAGGATAGAAAGTAATGTTGTAATCCTGTTTCAAAATGTAGCAGCAAAACAGCAGTAATTGCCGTAAGTAGCGTGGGTTTAACCCGCCGTGCCAAATCGATGAAACTCTTTAGTCGAGAAATAATGGCTTCTATTCGATTTTAAACGATATTAATTAAGCGATTGATATCGGTAATCGATAAATATCGAAGATCGAAAAAATTGTGAGTATCAATTTTTACAAATGTTATCTATTTTCATCCATTTTATCGATTGTCAATTGTAATCCTTTAATAATGATTTCAGATACGTTTGCGCTACCACTGGCTACTAATTAGTAATTAAAAGTCTTACCTATTAATTGTCGATTTATTCATCGAGGACAAAAGATTCACTCGTCCTTATTGTAAATGGGCACTGGTGGTAGCCCTTCACTACAGCCTCTAGTAATATAAAATGTTCATTTCGCCGGTCTTTTGGCAGGCGTCTGTCACAACGCGCAACGCGATTCTGATTTATCAGGACAAGTTGCACCATCTCGCGTGGTTGTCTAACTTTTCGTAATTTTCGGTCATAAAGCCGAAAAAACAGTGAGCATGTTTAACTCGCTAACACAAGACGAGGTGTTTTAACTGTATTTCTGGACTTTTCTGGCTTTATCTAGCTAAAATTAACTCAGTGAAAACACAACCGCAGAGTCTTAAAGCCATTTTTCACTTAATGGATGAAGTAATATTGTCATGTTATAATTATGGAAGATTGGCCGCTGAACACAATATGTGCACGAAAAATTGGATTTACACCAAATTTATTCAGTGCAAATTTGGTGCAAAAAAGTGCAAACTAAGGTTAAATAAAGGGCAAAGATGGTAAATACCGCATTTGCCCTAAAATTTACACCCCCACGTAAACTTGCAAGCAAATGCGGTATTTACCATCTTTGCTTTTAATTTCCCCTAGTTTGCACTTTTTTTTGCACCATATTTACACCGAGTAAAGTTGTGTGAATCCAATTTTCGTGCAGTGTCGGTAATCGATAAATGTCGAAGAAGAAAGAGTTGTGAGTATCAATTGTTATCAATTTTCATCCGTTTTATCGATTGTCAATTGCAATCCTTTAATAATGATTTCAGATGCGTTTGCGCTACTACTGGCTACGAAGTAGTAATTAAAAGTCTTACCTATTAATTGTCGATTTATTCATCGAGGACAAAAGATTCACCCGTCCTTATTGTAAATGGGCACTGGTGGTAGCCCTTCACTACAACCTCTAGTAAAATGTTCATTTCGCCGGTCGTTTAGCAGGCGTCTGTCACAACGCGTAACGCGATTGGCTGCGGTGCTTATCAGGACAAGTTATACCATTTTTTGCGTAATTTTTAGGTCATAAAGCTGAAAAAACAGTGAGCATGTTTAACTCGCCTAACACAAGACGAGGTATTTTAACTGTATTTCTGGACTTTTCTGGCTTTGTCTAGCTAAAATTATCTCAGTGAAAACACAACCGCAGAGGGTTAAAGCCATTTTTCACTTAATGGATGATGTAATATTATCATGTTATAATTATGGAAGTTTGGTCGCTGAACACAATTTGTATTAAATAGAAAAAATTATTGTTACAGAACAATAAACAGACCGTTAAGGATGAAGAGTTTTGAGCTGTTCGGTAAGCTCGCTGTTCAAGTTTCAAATTAGGAAAGATGCCTTGGTTTGCTGTGTTTAAGCCTGAGAAAGCACTTCTCGTGATCTAAACTATAACTAGTCTGAAATTTGTTATACCATTTAACAAAGTTATAAGTCACACTTAGCTTCACTTAGGTTTGTTTTGCAAGTTGGTTTTTGTTGTTTTCCCTGTCAGCATGCACGGCAATAGTGTAAGTGAATTGCCTAACCCCCCCCCTCCCCCCCACATGGACGGCCAGGTGTCTTCCCAACCTGCCCAGCACGTAGCCTCCAGGATCACTGAGGCAGCCAAACCGTTGCGCCACTTCAAAAGCATAACGCTTAGAGAGGAGGAAACAAACTACTGAATAATTTAAACAAAAGACAATGCCATTAAATTCTTTAGCGTAATGACTCGATTTAGCGCCCGAAGCGCTTATATAGTTATGGTTTCTCAAATGAGGGCGCTTATTCGAAACAGGGCGTCTATTTCTTTTATGTTGCGAAGCAAAACTCTTGAACCATAAAACAGGGGCCGGGCACCTTATGAGCAAGAATTAGCAAACGTGTGCGATCATGGCTTATACTGACAATCCCTTGTTTTGGAGTTCGAAGCTTGTTTATGAAGGCCAATTTTCGTCTGCTATACGAGGTCATCTTGTCTACAAAGCGACATGGGCTCCAACTAAGGACTCAAATACCAAGCTATCAGTGACATTCAACGCTTTACCTTTCCAATTATTCCTTCAAATCATAGCAACACCACCACCGATCAGCGAGGCAGCTCGATCTTTGCTCACCATGACATAGCCCTCTGGGCAATTCAGATGTGACAGGATTGTCATACTCAACCATGTCTCCCACAAAACAGTCCTCGAATAATAGCCGTCCCTCCATAAATCGCCTCCCTCGAATAATCACCCACCCCCACCCCTCTCGCCATCTTCTCTCTTTTTATCCCCTCCCTTTCAAGTTGCAGTGGAGCCTGATCAAGCGAAACTAATTCAAGCTCGGCACTATCTTTGGTGCTGTAGGCCCTTTGTTGATTTTAACAATCGAGAGCGTTCGTGGCCGTTCACTCTGGTTGCGTGAATTAGGGTCAACCTTGTCGCGATAGGATGGAGCAATAGTCGGTAACCGAATAGCGGCGCTTATTGGTATTGGGGCGCTTGGAATGCCCGGGTGGGGGGTACTTCCTAGTAGTAGGCCAATGGGTTTGTGCTGCTGGATTGGGCCGCATTTTCACGACTGGATTGACTATTATGGGGTTACATTTTTATAAGAGTTGCTGGAACGGGTTCGCACATTTTCAGGATTTTGGGGATCAGAAAATTCAGGTATGTAAGGATTTAAAAATAGAAAGATTTACACCAAGTTTAACAAAAATGTGGCAGTTCATCTCAGGATGTTCTAGTTAAAAGGCTTTGTAAGGTACATGTATAAACAAAATGTGACTAAGCTGGGATTGCGAAAATTATTTTTTTCCAAAAGTGACTAAGATGTGGTAATATGGCCACAGAATAGACTATAATGGAGTCGGGGTTTTGAGAGGCCAGCGGCACATACCCAACCAAAATTAACCCAAGTAACCCCCGGGTTGGAATGAGGGTGCTTATGCAATAGGGGTGCTTATTAGAGATTGAGCGCTTATTGGAACGAAGTTGGTTCGTAGATGTTCAGAGTAATTGTTTCTTTTAGAGGAACAGGTTCTTTCACATGAATGCAAACAACACTTATAATTCTGGTGACTCAAAACACAACATTAATTTTTACGCACCATTCATGGTGTTTTGAACATGCATGGAGACTTGAAGTAAGCGCAGTAAAAAAACAAGTTTAAAATGGCAGGTGTATTGTTTAACAGTATCAAAAATAACTAACGTTTCATTTTATCTGTCACATTTGAAATTCAGTAAAATTATGTTTACCATAGATTTGTTTTAATAACTGACCATACTGGAAGATCACAAGAAGGATAATTAACACTGGTGTAGAACTAATTCTCTGATGGAAATTAATCCCCCTCCCCCCTTGACCTCCTAGGTCAGTCAAGTAAAATAGAAGCCAATGAACTACGCAACCTCTAAGACATTACTTACCTTTAATAAGCATTCGGTTTCTTTTTTTGTTTTCACTAGCTCCTTTAGAAATAGAAGCACGCGGAGAAAAAGCACAGCTCGCTTATCAAAGAGCTCTTAAAGATGGAGCTGTTAATGTTTACCGTGGTCGAGTATTGCTTATTGGGCAGGATCGGGCAGGAAAAACAAGTTTGAAGAAGTCTCTCATTGGTCTACCATTTAATTCAAAAGAAAAAAGCACGGATGGAATTGAAGTGGATCCTTCAAAATTTCAGTTGGACGTTGGTGAAGTCAGGAATTGGCAACCTATTGATGAGAGAAAGCAAGGATTGCTAGGATGCTCAAAAGATGTGGCACAGGTGGTAGCGGAAAGGATGTATACTGATATTCCAGTTAGCCGTGTCTTTGTCAGGAAGGAGTTAAGAATTGAAGCAGTACTTCAAAGTGATGATAACAAGAATAGGAAACAGGTTGATACTGATGGAGAAAAGGAGGATGTTTCTCCTGTGAACCAGGTTTGTTTTTGTTGGTTTTGAATAGTGATGTTTTTTCGTGAATCCATCATTTACTTACTGCAAGAACGTCCTAACAGTAGTTAATATGAATTGATTATCGCCATCTTCATAAGTTAGGTTATAGTGACTTCCCAGTGCCCTTTGCCACAGTCTCCGTATGGAAAATATGCGTGTAACAACTGCCAGATCGTTTTCTAGCTCGTTTTCCAATGCTGGTTAAAATTTTTGACCAGCGTTTTTACACTTGTAAGTTTAGTTCCGAGAGTAGAATGATAATACTATCAACCATTTAGTTAAATTTCCATGATTGTACCCATCTACACGTAAGCTTAGCCTTTGGGTTAGTAGTGCGTGTGCAAACCAAAGTGAGTTTAGCCATATCTTTATTTATACTTTTAAGTGTTAATTAGGCCTTGAGCATAGCTTTCTCTTATGTTGTTGTTGTTGTTGTTAATCACAATGTCGCTATTTTCTTTTTTTATGCCAGTAGTAAAGCCAAGGGGCTGGGAAGACTCAATCAAACATCATTTTCCTATACGTCCTTAAACTCACTGTTCCTTAAAAAAATGCAAGAGCATATTAATGTTGTGGATACCTCATGCTTCCAATAATCGTGCCTCAATGTTTGAACTTATTAAGAATTTTCTGTCATCAAAAACAACTTTAAATGGCTGCATAATCGAATGGGAGGGTGAAGAGGAATAATTAGGTGTTCATCATTCCATTATTCCAGCTCGAACATTTTTCTTATTCTATTCTTTCAGTAAAAAAAGAACAACTTATTCCGTTGAAAACATCTGCTTATTCCATTATTCCGCGCCACAAAATGGCATTATTCCATTCTTACAACAACAAAAATTCCGTTATTCTTACTCCATTATTCCTCTTCTCCCCCAAAAGTCGAACCAGCCATGTTAAGTCTTTCATAATCAGAATCAACAGCTATTTTCTGTTTCTTTTTTTCATACTCTGCTTCAGGTTGGTGATCCAAACGAAGACCGTGTTGATGAACCCACATTAACAGGACCTGATCATGAGTTAGTGGTTGATACTACTTCACCTCCAGAGGAGATCAAGGAACGAGCAGTTCAGTTGATAAAGGAAATACAAGATGAAGATTTTACGGCTGAAGAATCTGTTGTCAGTATTGAACTGTGGGATTTTGCTGGACAACACCTGTATTATGCATCCCATCCTGTATTTTTATCATCACGTGCGCTGTACATTTTGGTGTGCAACCTCAGCAAGCCACTGCATGACACAGCCAAGCCCTGTGTGAGACAAGGATCTCGTAATGTTGAGTTGGAAAACCCAAATGGAGAAACAAATCTTGAGAACTTGTTGTCTTGGCTGTCCACAGTGCATAGCGTCGCACAGATGAGAAGAGAAACCTGTGATGATGTAGAAGCAGAGGTGCCTCATTATTTACGTCCCCCAGTGATCATTGTAGGAACCCATGCAGACAAACCATTTGAAGACATTGCAACAATGAAAACAGAAATCCAGAACGCAATTGGTGGTAAGGACTATGAAGGACATGTGGTGCGGCCTATCTTCAGCATTGACAACACTGCAAAATTAACTCAAAGAAAGATCAAGACAATGGTTTTCGGGAAAGATGAAAACATTGAGGAGATCCAAGCTCTACGAGTGAAAATCATGGAAGTGCTAAGACAGGAGCCTTACATTGGGGAGAGGATACCTGTGGGGTAAATAATGGTTATACAAGAACAGAATCCATTAAAGTAAATTTTAAATAATTTCCATGTCAAAAGTTGAGCTGTGAACGCACTGGGATTACTGTTTATGTGTATGGCGTTTGTTTCCGGCAGTCCTTATAAGATTTTTCTTTGATATGCGATGTGTTCTTTGATATGCAGGTGTCATTAGTAACTCATTGACTGTGACGCTATATAAAAGCGTGAAAGAAATGAATACCTCGTTGATTGAAACAAGTTAACCATGAAAAGTAGTTTTGACTGGCCTTAAGGAATATTATGTCCTGAAGCGTTTCACAATCTTATTTCGAATTGGTCCAAAAGCACTGTGTACATTTCATGTTCGTTTTAAAAAGGTAAAGTAATCGATCTGTGGTAAACTGCATAACTGCACAGGGTTACCATTTAAGAACATGCTCAGCTGTATTAGTTAAACTTATTTAAGCATATATTTATTTCATTTCAACTTTAGAAAGACCATCAATACTAACTAATAAAAAATCTTCACGGCTTTTCACAAGTCAGCAGTCATGTTTTGAAACGTGTGTATGCTTCTGGCCCCGGTTGTTCAAACCGTGAATCACTATTAAGCTGGAAAATATCAGTAAACCTAATGGCACTTTCCACTGGATTTTGGACAGATATTTATCCAGGGAAAAGATTTATCCACCTTTCGCACAACTGGGCCCTGTACTTAAGTCAGTACTGGTATACTGTGTATTTGTGACATATGGATACTTAAACTCGTGCTATCAATTTCCTCTTTGGTTTTGTAAACTAGGTGGCTGAGCTTTGAGAAAGTCATCAACGCTTTGCTTTCCAAGCCAGTTTATTACCTGAGTATAACAAAGTTACGGAACCATGCCAAGGAGAAGAGCTTCATCGATGACCATGAAGGGTTTACCACCATGGTGAATTTCTATCATGACTTGGGGATAATTATCAAGCACCGTAGCACAGTCATCCTAAGTACCCAGTGGCTGATAAACTTGTTCGGACAGCTGATCACTATTCCAGATTTTACGAAGATGGTAAGAAATGGATTTTAAACGTGTTTTAAAACTTGCAAGGTTTATAATAGTCCACATTTTGGATGACATCACAGGTTTCCAACCGTGCGGTAGCTAATAAAAATAATTATTTCAAGTGCATTTCCCGCTATCTTTTTGAAAATGTTAACTGTTCCTCAAAGATTTGTAAACAGCAAAATCGTAGTTGATTGGACTACTATTTAATATTTCCCCAGTGTAAAACAGTTAGGGTAGGCGATGTAATTCTGAAATGAACTCTTATAGCAAACCTATAACAACTGAATTTGTACTAACGCCTGGTCAGCAGTCGTCCCTGTAATAAGCCCGCTATACTGACGTCACTAAGAGGAAGCATTACACTTTCACTGCACTTTCTTATTTGAACGTTGTAATATCCCAAGAGGATTCTTGTTTCAATTTCGAAGGACATTAGGTGACGTCACGAGGTACCCGCGAACAGTAAGAGAAGCTTATAACCAATTTACCCGCAATTTACCTTTTATGTAGGCTCAAAGGAATCGGACAACCAAACATAGTAAAAATACATATTGTATATAGAAAGGAAACCTGACTTTTCTCTGCCCTAACTGATGCACGCGAAGAGCGAATTGCGAAAAATTTATAACACTGCTCAACCTACACGAAAAAACGAAGAAGTTTAGCTTGTATCAAGCAGTATTGCCTCCCACGCTGACTTCCTTTTGGCTCGTTACGCAACCCTCTCCAACTAGATTACAACTAGTCTCTTCCTCAGGGATAGTGGAGCGAGCGAATTACGCGAGCACGAGTGAAATTTGTCACCCTCTAGGAAGGTGACAAACGCTCCTGTATTTTAATCGCTCAAATATTCCAGAGGAAAATAAGGGGCCACTCGTAGTGTATCCTCAGTAGTATATTAGGCATAGAATCAGCCTTTTTTGTGGTGGAATCTTCGCTGGAATACATAAACGCCGATGACGTCATAACCTTCATGAATAAGATGCTGTTGAATCTCTTTAAAGGGTTAAAAATAACACACGGCCTTATCTCAGGGTCAGTTTACATCGAGGTGGAGGACCCTAGGTAGGTGAGGTAACCCGCTGCTGGTCACCCCAGCTATCATGTAAACGTGGTCAAATTAAAATGAGACATTATGTGGATAGGCGGGTTACCTCACTTGCCTGAGGTCCCTCACCTCTGTGTACACTGGTCCTACGATAAGGTCGTGTTCTATTTGTTAACCCTTTGGACAGGTTTTCCAGTTATTTCTTGGTAGAAGGTCTTGCTTTTTGATTGGTCGACGACTAAATGTAAGAACTAGGAAAAGTATTCATTGGTTGATTCAGGTTGTCGAAGGAATAAGCGCTAACTCGCCTGTGACGTAGTTGTGCAAGTTACATTTCATACCGTTCTCATTGTTCAATAAGTTGTTTAGGTTTACTATGCGCGCAAATCGTTAATTTTTCATGAGTACGAAGCCACACTAGCCATTTCTATCACGAAAAACATTTTTCCACTTTCCCACATCCCTTTTTCCTTTTCCACATTTCATGATTTCACATTGTTTCCTTCCACCACGACAACCACGTTTCTATTGTTTTCTCTCAGCGCGAGGTTATGGTGAACGTTGTGAAGAAAAGAAAACTTAACTTCGTAAATCTTCTAACGTGATTGGAAAGAATTGTGTGACGAACCAAACGGAGGGCTGCTTAGAAGGCTATCCTCTTTACTTTTATTCACACTGTAGTACTTGCTAGGCAGACTACGTAACTTTTTCTTTATATGCGTCCCCACACAAAAACGGAAAATTCTAGATCTTTTTCTTTGTTTGTTGATTAAAATATTAAATAAAATAACCAACAATTTACAAGTGCATTAATTAACTGTCTCAAAATTCTCCCAAAATATCACTATTCTAAGAAAGCTTTGTTATTGTCCTTCACCTTATTCCGTCTTAGGTTCCTAAGGTTGCCAAGCACTGGAAGGAAGTTAAAGAAAGTGGTGTTCTCTCCATGGAACTGGTTGATCTTGTGTTTTCCAACTTTCTCCTGAAGGGTGTTGCCGGGAGAGACATTCTTGATTTGATGGAACAATTTGGATTGATTGCAAAATTTTCATCTTCAAGGACAGGTGAAAAGTATTTTGTTCCATCTCAACTCAAAGCGTCGCCTGATTCCCTTTGTTCCATGGCGCCTACAAGGCTGGACCCTTGTCCCCTGTATGTTTACTTTGTTAGCGGTTCTGTTCCCCATGGTCTGTTCACTCGGCTTGTTTCTCGATCTGTCCGTTGGTGTTCTGAGGCTGGTCCAACTCAGTCCCCTACCCTGTACCAAAATGGAGCTTGGTTTGTTATTGGGAAGCAAACTTTCCATGATTTTGTTCTTATTTGTAAGAAGCAGTTTATTAAGTTTTTTATCACGCAAAGAAACCAACTTCAGCAGATCTCTGTGGATGACACAAGTGAGGTGGCGGTGCAGGTTCGTAAGTTTGTGGAGGCAACTTTGCGAGCTTTGTCACGTGATCTCTATAAAGGTGGATTGCAGTATCATATTCGGGTTGCCTGTCCGTATTGTCAGCGGGAAAAGTGTTCAAGGCATGATCAGATTGCATGTTCTCATGAAGATTGTCTTCATCTCCTTGAGTTAAGACAAGGCGATCCTCTGATTTGCAAAAAGAAACCTCTTGAGGAGGTACTCACAGTTACGGGACAGCAAAAGTGGTTCTCGCAAATAGAAAGTAAGGTAGGTAGCAGTAAAATGCGATCTCTAGCAGTGCTCTTAGCATATTACATATAGCAAGCGAATACACATACTACTAATAAAAACTTATGTCCTTAAAAGGTAGCCAGACTAAAAAGGCTTCAACAAAGTCTATACGTGTGATTTGTTAGGTTATAGTATGATGTACAACGTATGCCTTCATTTATCGTGCCACGAGCTCCACTGGAGTGTAAGAGAAGGCTTTGTTGCTGTCAACTTAACGAACATTGGTTCTTAAAGGAACTGGTTCACGATAATGCGCATGCGCGCCGTTTGTCTCTTCAGAATATATTTGTCGGGTCAACACTAAATTCGAAATCGCCATTACCGGTACAATCATTGAAAATCCTTCGTTTTATTCGGACATCCGTCGCTTTGGCTGGTCTAGTTATACTTCGGTAGTGGTGATTAACGTGTGGTTGTGTCGTTTGACTGGTTACGTTTTAAGAAGACGCAAAAAATAATGTTTTGATCATAGAGGTTCAGAAGAGCATCGTGGCCGTCCGGCAACAGGACGTTCTCAAGAGTCTCTGGAGATAGAGAAGCTTAGCCGATCGATCTGGTATGGTTCTAGGAGTACTGTGTGGCATACGAAAAGAATACACGACACTTGGAAAGTGGTTAAAGGCATGATTTCGTTCAACTTTGATTTGATTTTTGATTCCGACCTGTAGTTATACCGCAACAGGCCGCGCGATCTTCACCGATCTGGTACACTTGAAATGTTCCTTGTATCATTGCTTTACGATCGTATATGTTGAAGAATTGATGTTTTTAAAATAAACTATTGCCTGAATATTCTGTTTATAATCTAGTTTCTTTATGTGTGCTACTCGATAACATTTGTTTTGCGGAACACTGACCCGATGCAACGCGAATGAATTTGTTCATTTGCTGATAAGCAATTGAAATTTATGCTCAATTAAGGATAATCTTTATACTCATACGTTGTGTGTTTTTGTCACCGGTCAGGCGCTATTTGTAGGTATTTCTGGGTTTATATAAGGCGAACTGAGAGAACAGTAATAAGATGTTTGTTTACAAATTTTGTTTGCCGATCGGTGACTGTTTTGTTAGCGTGGGTACGACCTCGTAAAAATACACGTTGGTAAATGTTTGTTTCAAAGCAGGACAGGGCTGTAAATCTTATTCTTAACGGCTGCAACATATATCTGAGGAGTAGCAAAGAATAAACTTGAATTATGGGGATAAATAAAATCAAACCAAATGCCCGGAAATACTCTCGCGTCGCGAACAATTAATTTGAATTTTGTAAATTTACTTGCGTGCAACCAACTCGCTTCCGATTGGTTGAAAAACAATCAGCTACTGTCAGAACTCACACATGCGCATTATCGTGAACCAGTCCCTTTAATATCATGTAAGTTGATAAGGTCAATTGGCTACCATGTATTACTAATTGTTATTGGCCTGTAGGCATAGCAGTGGCTATATAACTTTTTCCCAAGTCTTTTTTAACGTGCTGTTTGCTTTGCGGTTGAGCAATAAGTTTATAGCATCTAACGTGTTGACATGTTTTGCAAACTTTCATTCAAAAAGGTAGAAACCCCCAGATGTAAATTTTATATTTTATAATATGCAATTTTGGTTGCTATGCAGGAAGCGCGTACTCCATTATCATCACCTGGTACTGCACAAGCTCGTCCAGAGCGTCTGGTACTGAAAGTTACACTTCTCGCGAATGAGTGGGGGTCGTCTAAGGGTGGCTTGTCAACAATAAACAGAACTCTTGCCATACATTTGGCAAAAGACGCAAACGTAGAAGTCACCATTCTTGTACCTGAATTTGAGTGTGGCGAAGAGGATAAGAGAGCTGCCAATAGTCACAACATATCCATCCGGGAAGCAGGGCGCCTTCCTGCCTTCAGTGATCCTCTTGACTGGTTGAGTTTTCCACCAGATGACCTTGACATCCAGGTTGTGATCGGCCATGGAGCAAAGCTTGGCAGACAAGCGCAAATTATCAGAAAGTCTCATTGCTGCAAGTGGGTGCAGGTTGTTCACACTGAGCCTGAAGAGCTTGCGATGCATAAGAACTATCCAAGCGCCATTGCCAAGGGAGAAGGGAAGAACAGAGCTGAAGTTGACCTTTGTCAAATTGCAGATCTCGTTGTAGCCGTTGGACCCAAGTTAAAGGAAGCGATCGCGTGCAAGTTGCGTTCATCTCATCGAGACATCTTTCAATTAATACCAGGTTCCTTTGCAGAGTTTTCAGATATTGAACATGCTGCACAAGATGGTGTAAATTTCAGAGTATTGACCTTTGGTCGCGGTGATTTGGAAGACTTTAGTCTTAAAGGATACGACATTGCCGCTCAATCCATAGTTGAATTGAAGGACAGTACTTATAGCCTTGTTTTCGTTGGTGCTTCCGATGGAAAGCAGGATGAAGTGGCAGAAATCTTACTCCAAACTGGCATTTCAAAGAACCAGCTGATTGTGAGATCATTTGTGAAAGACAAAAAAAGATTGAGAGAGTTGTTTTGTGAAGTTGATCTGGCCATCATGCCATCAAGAACTGAGGGGTTTGGTTTGACAGCATTAGAGGCCATGTCAGCTGGTCTTCCCATTCTAGTTAGTGGAAACTCCGGATATGGAAAAGCACTGCGTGCTCTTCCAATGGGTGAGTCATTTGTGATCGACTCTGATGACCCCAAGGAATGGGCAAAGGCAATTGCAGCCATCCGTCAAAAATCAAGGACACAGCGGCTTGAGGGAATCCAAAGACTGCGAAGAAGTTATGATGAAAGATTCAGTTGGGAGGGACAGTGCCAGGCCCTTGTTGACAGGATGTGGAAGATGGTCTATGGTAAGAAATCAAATTTACCGACAGGAAAGTAACGATAATAATAATAATTAGTATACTTGAAAATGTTAAAATGCATATCTTATCAGAATTATCCTTCATTTGACCTTCGTCATTCATCGCTGCATGTCTATTGCCTCTGCAATAGCGAGTGCATAAATACATTTTTACTACATTATGTTTCGTGGTCCATGTGCATCGCTATTGTCGTTTGCCTTTTTAACCTTAATGTTGGCATTCACACTCTCCACACTGTTCTCCATACATATCTTGTGTTACTGATGAGGAGAATTTGTTTAATAATCAAGATCTTTTTTACCGGCTTATCAATTCCATTCTTTAAAACTTTTATGTATAATTTTATAAAATGTTGGCTACACTTGAAGGAGTTAAGGATAAAAGAAAATTAAAATCTATAACATTGCGATACATCAAAGTCATCTGATTTCTATTCATCTGCAGCAGCAATGGTGGGGTTCTCTTGTATATAAAAAGGAAGTAACAAAAAAAGCCCAGCCGAACTTTTGGCTATAACTTATAACAAAAAATGAATGGAGGGCTTTTAGGGTTGGAATCTTCCTTTTTTTAAGAGTGACATTTTTTTGTTATAATCAACACTTTTTAATTTACAGGTCTTGAAAAAACCAACGAAGGTGACGTTCCACCGAGCGACTGTGGAAAAGTTGCTGCAACAGGACCGATGGCAGGTAATGTAATTGTTTGCTTTGTCAATTAAAGCAAAGACATGATTTATTGTGCAGTACAGTGCGGTTATTTTCTTCTGTTGAACAGGGGTGCTTTCGATTATTCGGATGCTTTTAGCTTTTCAATGTTTAGTGTAGCATCTCCGAGTAAACTAACGTAAAATAACTGTTTCCCTCTCCCGCTTACAGGCCAAACCATTTAAATTCACTGCTAATTTAAACTTTACAGGTGTTGAAAAAACCCAAGAAGATCGCGTTCCACAAATTGGTTTTGAAAAAGATGCTGCAACAGGACCGATGGCAGGTGATGTCATTGTTTGCTTTGCCAATTAAACCAAAGCCAAAATATATTTTTGCAGTAGAGTGAAGTTACTTTGTCCTTTTAAAACTACAGTAGTTTTTCTGAAATTGTCGACTGTTGTAAGCTTCAGACCAGTGCACTGTGCTGCACCTGTCTTATGGAACTCGCTGCCATTAACTAAAAGAACAAGTAGGAGCCTCGCCATTTTTAAAAAGCATCTTAAAACATTTCTTTTTAGGAAAGCTTATAATTTACTAGAATAACTTTGAAGTTTAGTGCTTTGAATGTTTTAATTTTAATTTTGTATAGAATTTTAGACTTTTTCGATTTTCGCATAGCATGGAATTTTTTTGCTATTGTTGTTGTTATTATTAGCTTTTAGGAATTGTTTTAATTGTAACTTAATTTTAAGCACTTTTGAATATTTTATAGTTCTAGCACTATACAAACTCTTTATCATTGTCGTTATCATTATCATCATCTCCTATAAAACTGGCGTGAAATAACCTCTATCTTATTTTGTCTTTTTCATCTTCTGCTTACAGGTGAACCCATTTTCCTTGCACTTCAACAAATCCTGCTGGAAGCACGCATAGAGTCCAGCAAAACTGAGTTTTCGGAAGCTTTAAAGAGGACTGCGTTGGAAAAAGGTTTTGCGATTTCTGACAATCAAGGAGAGGGAAACTGCATGTTTTTTGCACTTTCAGAGCAGCTTGACCTCATCAAAGGAATTCAAATGTCCCATGATGAGTTACGCCGAACTGTTGTACAACACCTTCGGGAAAACCCCAGGCTGGTAAGTACCTTATAACTTTATTATCTTAACTAACATAACTTTATTATTTATATAGCGCAAAATACATGGGTATATGATCTAATGCGCTTATTATTACCTTATTAGGGTGCACACATTTGCAGTATACGAGCGTAGCTGTGGCATTTGCCCGCTACATTGTTTTAATTCCTCTTAAAGTTAAAAAAAAAATAAGGCCCTGTCCACACGTATCCGAAATACGGGTCCACACGAAGCGTATTGGGATCTTTTTCGCCCGTCCACATAAAAACGCTAAGATGATTGAAATACGATAGCATCGATTTACAGAGCATGTGTAGTGTTGTATTCTAAAACCTCTGTATTCGTCCATCTCTCTCGTCTCCACTATTGGGACTGTTTGTTAAAACCTGCGTTTTTGATGCTAGAAAATGTCGGTCACGTGTGGGCGAAAAGCTAAATTGCACAAATAAAGCTCCGATTTAAAAAAAAAATTTCCGGATACGTGTGGGCGTGGCCCTTAAATTCCTGCGATTAAATTTGACGGCTTTACGGGTATGCTGAATATGAATTCACCTTTTATGAGAAAAACAACAGCTAGCTCTGCACGAGCATCACGTTTTGCTTCTTCGTCCACTCAATCAATCAATCAATCAATCAATCAATCAATCTTTATTCCTCCTAAGATAAAAGATATGTAAAACTAAGGCGCTAAACAGGTGATCTACTTCACCTTGACTGAAACCTTCCTTCCGTAATGATCTTAATACAATCAGACACTTATTTGCCTCAATCAACTTAGCACGTAAGTGTTCGCTATATTTACTATTCTCCTGAAACGTAGCACCTAAAATGGGCAACTCCGTGCATCGCGGAATGTTACTAACTTGCGCAATAGCCTGAATAAAACCATCCTTGCGAATACTAAATAAGTACGGACCACTCACACTGCCCTGTGTAATGCCCCTGCTCACACATTGCCATTGTCCTTGAAAACTGTTGTAAATAATGCACTGTTGACGATTCTCAAGAAAGCTTAAATACCAGTTGATTATGAATGGATTTAACGGTACATCCTTAAGCTTTTAAGACAAAAGTTTACGATTAACGCTGTCGAACGCTTTACTGAAATCCATGGCAAACAAACGTACGGGTTTACACTTAGGGTCATCTAGATAACAATAGACGGTGTGCTGTCACGGGACTTATCTCTTCGATTTATGAAAAAATATTATAAGCTAATGGAAGTTCTACATATCTTTCTAATTGTTTTTAAAGTGAAACCGATATTTAACCCGATTTAGCCAAATGTATCCTTTACGGAATAAGTGAAACATAATACTAATAAAGAACATTTAGAATATAAATTTAAATTCTATAGTCGCAGGGATATGTTTTCCTGCATTTTGAAGCTGCAGACAATGACATTCAACAACCAATACCCACCCACACAAACTGGACTTTTTGGTTCTCTTTTAATAGCTCTGCTCATAATAATCTTTACTCAAAGTCACTGTCAGCATCTGAGCCGTAATCAGAGTCAGGGTCAGAGTCTACATCTGGAAGGTCCAGTTGTTTTGTAAAATCCTTTGCCTACTGCCTTAATTTTTCAATTCATGAATTCCTCAGTAGTGAAGTTGTACGAAAATTATTTGAAATCAGATTCCCATACAAACACCGTCAGTGGCGTCGGAAACCGTTTGGTCTATTCTACAAATAGATGAAGTGCGGCAGACAAACATTTGGAGAGACGAAGAGTTTTCGCCAGAAGGTGAATCACAAAAGTATTAGTTTAACAACTTATCTTTAAAATTTCAATGACTAGATGGGAGGAGCACTGTTTTAACGTGAACGCACCGAAAATTAATTCATTGGCGTAAACCATAAGACAAATCAAAAATCACGCTTCGCTTCGTTGAACATGATGATTAAGCCATTCAATATATACAGGCAAGTAAAAGGTTAAATCACGAAGAAGTCTACTCACCTCTTGGCCTTTTCTCTACTGGAGGCCCTTTGGTTGAAGCCGAAAAATAATCCGCTATCGAACGCGTTCTTTTCTGGGCCGCCATGCTCACGTGCTCCCAACACTGATACATTTCAGGTGGTCGTTTATGAAGCACAGTTCTTTCGAAATGTGTTATGAGGCGATTGTTGTTTTTAACACATAACGAACGAGGGGATTTCATGCCGCGTGTAATAAAGTGGAAATTGCACGGCAAAGTATGTTTTACACTTGATAAGACTCATCCAGAAAACGGCACGATTGTAACTTAAAACTGTTTTTGATCGTTCCTTGTATTAAAAAGAAGGTCTTTGAGATGTAAAGCAGCCGGTCAATTTGCCCGGTGCCCGGTCCTTAATGAACCCCATGGGCCATACATCTGTCGCTTATTTCTTTTTTTCTTGCCACCAAGATTTGTTTATATTTCTGTTTCACCGAATTGCAGTGAGCTGGCTTTCGTACTCGGTTTCAAAGTGAAGTTTGGGTCAGCATGTTTGCCGCTTTTTTCCAGCCATCGTCCACTTGTCAAGCTTCTGATGCTTCGGAAACCTACAAAATCATTCTGTTTCCTTGAAGATATACGCGTCCCTTTTGATTGCAAACAGCAAATCGCTACTAAACATTAAAAGCAGAAGACATCCCACGTAATTGTATTTATAAAGAAGTCCGTAGAAAGTTATTTCAGGTGGAATCCGTGCTAAACACTCTGCAAGTTCACTGAAAGTCTTCAATTGTAATTTTTGTTTATCCTACAACGCCTCGCTTTCATGACTAGGCACCAGTTTTTTCCCGCGTGTCCGCCATTTGTGAATACGGTGTATGCGGGCTCATTTAAGCCTTTCCGGTTGTAGTTACTTGTGCTGATATTTACGAGTGTAATTACGCTCAGCTCGGCGACGAGCGACGACGTTGTGCCGGTTTGTGACAACGATCAGGTACATATAGAATTTGAAATGTACTAACTTTAGAAACAAAAACATCTTCCCCATCAAGTTGATATGTTCATTTCTTCTCGCCGAAAAAAACACCAGCAAAATGTTTTGTCATGATCCAGAGCAACAATGAGTTCTAATGCCTTTTCCAATCATTTTGTGGGAAGATAAGGAATCCCTGAATTATGCACATCAATTTATTTGTAGTTACACACTCACCGCTTTTGTATCGGAAATCTTACTCGTTTTGCGGCACTCTCTCGTACTATTTCTGCCTCATCTACTAATGCTTTTATACCATGTACTTTCCATGAAATATTTCGAAGATGTTGCTTTGTTTACACCAAAGTAGAGGAGGATTTTTTGTTTTTATGGCCACGTACATACCTTCGATTGTTGTCTTGTCACAACCCGCACAGCGCCGCATAGCGCTGATCGCGGCCGAGCGTAGTTACACTCGTTATAAATATCACCACACGTAATTACAACTAAAAAGCTTAAATGAGCTCCTACATTTATACTTAAATTTGCACTATATATTTCGAGACCTTTTCTTCACGTAGATAACTGAATTCAGTAACCACAAATTTCACTCTCAACCTCAAGCAAGCAGTGTTTATCGATAGAATTTATCGCATTAATCACACAGAAACTCGAAATTTCAACGCATCAACTTTAGTCACCTCCCCTTCTCATAAAATCACGCCCTACATTTTTTCGCAATGTTCGCCCCCTGGCGATCCCATGATCCTGTGCGCAAAACATGGGTCTCCGATTACTGGAAAATCATTCATTATGTGGGTCATGTCTTCATTTGGTCATGAAGACACCTGTGACTTAAAATCACTGAACCATGACGCCCTCAGTGTCCATTGCAGGCAACTTAGGGTGTGTTCACACTGTACCGTATAGCTTTTTCGCCGGCACGAAAATCAGTTCACACACAAGAACGGTGATTTCGGCGCGATTTCTGTTAAACGAAGAGAAGCTGTGCCTCGCCGATCTCTTAAGTGGAGAGTCACATATTGGATAGATGTCGTGTCGTAACTAAAGGTTATCCGGTATTGTGTGATCATAGCTTTATTGTTCTGGTTCCGGTTCACTGATTCTTGGTGCGCAAATGAGAGAAAGACGTCATCGACGTTAATTTATTCCACTTCAAAAAAGGTGTCTAATTAGTGCCTCCTACACTACTAAAGTGGAAAAATCATTTTTTTAGTGCCGATACCAGTGGCGTCCGCCTTACAGAGAGCTGACAGCGCAGCTGCTTGAATATATACCTTCTACAAAAGCACTTTACCCCTTTCTCTATTAACTACAGTATTTTCGTTTTTTCTTACAGCCAGATGGGACAGAACTGTCTCATTTTGTGGATGGATATCCATCTTGGGATGCCTATCTCACAAGCATGATGGCAGATGGTACATGGGGTGATCACGTGATCCTACACGGCGCGGCAAACTGTTTTCAAACGTGCATCCACGTGATTAGCAGTCTTCCGCATCGCCATGACGTAATGATCTGCCCAGAGTTTGATGTTACTAGTAGCGGCCGGCTTGTGCTGGGTCACGTGTACGAGCTTCACTATGTTAGCCTTATTCCACAGAAAGGAGGTAAACATGACTGATAATACTGCGATTCAAGAGTTGCTAACTTGCGTTATGAAATGGAAGACATTTGACCTTTATTGTGGCACCTTATTTGCAAACATGTTGGAAGAAATAAGAGGTCTATTTTTTCACATGTACGGTTTTTAATCCGTCAATTTTCTTATGACGGTACAATTAGCCGTTTTAATAGACTAAGTATTCATAACAAAAAATTTTCTGCCTCAAAAAATTCATGAAGCCCTCTCAATTACTGAGATAAATTACTGTAGTGTTCTTGATAGAACTTGGTTTTAAGGGCCACCACATGGGCTGCAGTCCCGTGTAAATATTCCATCATTAGACCCTGTTCTAACTTTCGACCTGTATCTAACCTGAAGTTTTTGTCTAAAGCTATTGAAAAAGTTGCAGCCATGCGTCTGACGGATTGCTTGTGTGATAATGATCGGAATGAAAGTCTCCAGACTGCTTATAAGAAACACCACAGTTGTGAGACAGCGCTTCTACGTGTTCAATATGATATACTGAAATCAATCGATAATAAACAATGCGTTGCTCTCTTGCTGGTGGACCAATCAGCAGCCTTCGACACCGTCGATCATAAGATCGTGTTACAAAGACTTCGATCTTCAGTCTTATCTTACGGATCGTTCCTAGTCAGTTCAGATTGATGGATTTACTTCTTCAGTTCGTCCCCTAAGATTTGGTGTACCCCAGGGGTCCGTGTTGGCTTCGTTGCTATATCTCTTATACACGGCCCCACTGGGTGACCTTATACGATGGCATGATATGGAATTCCATCTATATGCTGATGACACTCAACTGTACACACCTTCATTTGTGATGACAGCGTTGATTTTACCACTACAATTTCCCGGATTGAAAGCTGTCTTGTCGATATCACTAACCGGATAACTACTAACAAACTGGAACTAAATAATGCCAAAACTGAACTTCTCATTCTCCATTCTAGGTTCAGACTGCCCCCACGGCTTCCTTCTATTAAAATAGGAACTGATATCATCAACCCTACAAATAAGGCGATAACACCATAACGATGTCTTTTCATATCAACAATATAGTTTAAGGGGCATTCTACCACCTTTGAAATTTAGCTTCGTAAGAATATCAATGTTACAACGGCTGAAGTTCTTGTGCACGTATTCATATATTCCAAGCTGGATTTCTGCAACTCACTTATATGTGGTCTTCCCAAGTATGATATTAACAAGCTGCAAAATGTCCAAAACGCTGCAGCGCGTGTGATTGCTTGCTTACGTAAGTTTGATCATAATAGCGATGCTCTAAAGGAGCTGCATTTGCTATCAGTGGAGCAAAGAATAATCTTTAAGGTTAATCTTTTATGCTTCAAGATACTCAACAATTTAGCTCCTGGTTATTTGGTAGGCCTTCTTCTTTGTTTATGAACCTGCGAGGTGCCTTCGCTCATCTTCAGACGAATGGCGTCTCGTTATCAAACCCTATAGCTTAAAGACATGAGGGGTTAAGGGCTTTTTCAGTCATTGCCCATTTTCTCTGGAACGATGTGTCTATTGATATTAGATCGATCGATGATGTGAATAAATTTAAATCTAAATTGAAGACCTTTCTTTTTAAGCGAGATTACGAACTATCTTGGGTTTTGATTTTGCATTTTTGTAACTATGTAAGGATTATATGTAAATGATTCTAGGATTTTTGTTTTTTATCTGGACCTTTTTAAAGCATTGTAAAGCGCTTAGCACTGAGAAGCATAGGCACTATACAAATCTTTTGTTGTCGTTGTTATTATTATTATTATTATTATTATTATTATTATTTTTATGTGATCGCTTCAGAAATATTGTCGTTAACCTTTTTAGCCTTAATGTTAGCATTGACATTCTCCGCTCTGTTCACCATACATATCTTGTGTTACTGATGCTATTCATATGCAGCAACAATGGTGGGGTTCTCTTGTATATAAGAAGAAAGTAACAAAAAAAAGTCCAGCTAAACTTTTGGCTTATAACTTGTCACACAAAATGAATGGGGCGCTTTTAAGGCTGGAATCTTCCTTTTTTAAGAGTGACATTTATTTCTTTTAATCATCACTTTTTTTTATTTTACAGGTCTTGAAAAAACCAAAGAAGGTGACGTTCCACAGAACGACTGTGAAAAAGATGCTGCAACAGGTCCGATAGCAGGTATTGTAATTGTTTGCTTTGTCAGTTAAACCAAAGACTATTCGGGTGCTTTTAGCTTTTCAGTGTTTAGTGTAACATGTTCACGTAAACTGACGTAAAATAACTGTTTCCCTCTCCCGCTTACAGGCCAAACCATTTAAATTTACCGGAACTTTTAAACTTTACAGGTGTTGAAAAAACCCAAGAAGATGACATCCCACAGAATGACTTGGAAAAAGATGCTGCAGCTGGGCCGATGGCAGGTAATGTCATTGTTTGCTCTGCCAATTAAACCAAAGCCAAAATTTATTTTAGCCATAGAGTGAGGTTACTTTGTTCTTTTAAAACCACAGTAATTTTTCTGAAATTGTCGACTGTTTTAGGCATCAGACCAGTGCACTGTGCTGCACCTGTTTTACGGAACTCGCTGCCATTAACTATAAGAACAAGTAGCAGCCTCGCCATCTTTAAAAAGCATCTTAAAACATTTCTTTTTAGGAAAGCTAATAATTTACTAGAAGAACTCTGAAGTTTAGTGCTTTGAATATTTTAATTTTAATTTTTTTATAGAATTTTAGACTTTTATTTTTTAGATTTTAGCATAGCATGGAATTCTTTTATTATTATTATTGTTGTTATCAGTAGCTTTTTAGGAATTTTTTTAATTGTAACTTAATGTTAAGCGCTTTTGAATATTTTATAGTTCTAGTTCTTCTTCATCATCATTACCATTATCATCATCTCCTATCAAACTGGCGTGAAATAACCTCTATCTTATTTTATCTTTTTCACCTTCCGTTTACAGGTGAACCCATTTTCGTTGCACTTCAACAAATCCTGCTGGAAGCACGCATAGAGTCCAGTAAAACTAAGCTGTCACAGACGTTAAAGAGGACTGCTTTGGAGAAAGGTTTTGCGATTTCTGACAATCAAGGAGAGGGAAACTGCATGTTTTTTGCACTTTCAGAGCAGCTTGACCTCATCAAAGGAATTCAAATGTCCCATGATGAGTTACGCCGAACTATTGTTCAACACCTTCGGGAAAACCCCAGGCTGGTAAATACCTTATTATTTTTGCTTGGGTAGATTCATTTGCGAGCCGTAAGCCGTCGCATTTGCCCGCTGAATTTTTTTCGTTGTTCTTAAGGTTATTAGTAATAAGACCCTGTCCACACGTAGTGTATTTGAATTTTTTTTCGCCCGTCTACATAAGAACGCTGAAATGATTGAAATACGATAGCATCCCTCACAGAACAAACGCAGTGCTACTAGCATATAATAAATGACATCGTCGTATTAGAAAACCTCTGTTTTTGTCCGTCCACACGGAAACGAAAAGTCGACGTTTTCAAAAGTCCACTCTGGGGACCGCTTTCTGTTGACCTGTGTTTTTGGTGCCCGAAAAGACCGTTTTCGTGTGGACAGAAGGCTAAAAATACCCTGATACGTGTGGACGGGGCCTTAAATCCCTGCAAGCAAATGCGACGGCTTCACGGGTATGCTGCAAATGAATCCACCCTTTATCAGCGAAACAGCAGCTCTACATGAGCATCACGCATGTTGGTACTTTTCTTCGTCGTCCACTGCACGACGTGAAACTTCCTAATGCGACGTTTTGTGAAGGACCTCGAACGCACGGCGACGAAGTATTGTTATTAGATCGGGATGCTGTCCTTAAAATACAAATCCCAGAAATTTCTTCTCCTTTTTTAATTTACAAAACGCTACATAAGGACCATGAAGATTTAAATTAAGGCAAATTCGTTTCCTTTAATCACATTTTTATCTCGGAAATGGAAAATGGAAACCGATTTTAGGAAATCTGTTTCTGTCGCCTCGATCGTCTGACTTATGTCCTAATTTTTTATAAGTACGTTATTGCTGCGGAGCGACCGAAGGGAGCGAGCAGCAACATAATCAGGATTTAAAGAAAATATATAAGGGGCGACGAATTCTCGAATTCATCACTTTTTACCACAATGCATTGCATTTAACCACACTTTTTACCACAATGCATTGCATTTAACCAGAGTGCATTGCGCCACGAACAACTCAAATAAAAACACGGGAAAGTTCGCATCGTTCGCTGCCCAGACTCAGAGTTTTCTTTGTAGCAAATTTTCTACAGCACGGTTAGAGGTCTTACCAAATTTAAGACACACAGGAATCTTTCAGATGAGTACGATGGTTAACTTGGGGATTGGATTTCAATTCAAGAGCCTTTGACTCGACCAGGTGTTAAACCTGACGAGAAGATGAGTATTTGCTCTTCGACTCCGCAACACGGGGGATATACAAATTCCAGCTTGCTAGAAGGTGATGTGAAAGTGAGAAAATGTCATGCCATGCTATTCTTAAGAACCTGCATGAGCCGAAAATGGATGTGATTTTGACCATTCGCTTCAAAATAATGGCGGAAATCGAGATAACAAAACATATGTTTTGTGTCCTACGTTGCAGACGAGGACGTGTATCGGCGTTTTTAAGAGCATAATTATGTTCTTTCATTCATGTATTGCCATGGAATATGCGCTGTTAATTTGCTGTTAATAGCTCGATTATGCGGCTGGCGATCATCTTGCCGGCGGAAGTTTCACGGAAAAGGAATTATATTAAAGACTTTTCCCAAAATTATGTAATCAGCCTCTGTGGTGTAGTGGTGAGGTATAGTCGCCTCGAGCAGATGGTGCCGGGTTCGAGTCCTACCGATCGCTTTTTTTCCTTCGTTCTTTTTTTTTCTGTTTTTTGTGTTGTTGTTTTCTATAAATATATAGCTAAATAACTGTTACTTAATAAAGTGCAATAAACAGCAAGAAAAGTATCATGTTTCCAGAGAAAAGATAGTACACCCTATATTAAATATATGGATAAATAATCTGAATTTCTATCATTTCCTACAATTTACTGTGGGAAAACCAGAGTTGATAACCACTTGATCATTTTTTAAACAACGTTCCCACGAGTTCTGTATATAGACTGATAGTACTTTCCAATATGTAAATAGGACATTCAATGTCATTTTCGATTCTTTTAAGTCTCACTGCCTAACTAATGCCAGTATCAACAGAATGTGCCGCAGCATTACTATCTTTTAGATACCCTAGTTTTACTAAGTAGGAAATGTTCACTGAAACCCGCTTTGTTCCAACAGCATATGTCTATATAGTGAAGTGAATACTTTATTTAAAGAGGGTAAAACTTGACAGTTATAACATCAACTGATAAACGTGAGGTCCTCAATACTGGTTATACATGTAGGGTTATTTATGACCCAACGTACTTGGCCTAGTCGAAATTTCCAAACTTTTATTATTTCATGATAAACACCTCTTCCCCTCTCACTTACACGTGTAACAGACACCTCACTAAAACCTCCTAAAGTATCTTCCTGAAAGTGTTGGTCCCTGCCGTTCTTAATTGTTGTTGTTGTTTTTTTTTGGACTTTTTACAAGGAAAATAGTATAGGATACACAGTTTAGACCTCGTTTTTGAAGTGAAATCTCATTAGCATGAAGTGGAACAAATAAGTGTAGGTGTCATCTTTATCTCATGAATAAACTGTGGTAGAATCTCATCAAGATATAAACGTCTAAGTTATACGAGCTATTTTTATGTAGTGTCTAGTATAACCAGTTATTCTTACATTGATGGTGTAACTTGCAGGAATCATGTTCTTATTTGGTGAGAATGCTGTAAAAGTTTATTTCATTGTCCATTGCAGAGACCCTTTTGGCCTGGTTGCGGTTCACTACTAAAGTGGACATATCTGCTCTAGTGCCGATACCAGCGGGGTCCGCGCAGCTGCCTGAATATATACCTTCTACAAAAGCACTCTGCCTTTTTCTCCATTAACTACAGTATTTACTTTCTTTCTTACAGCCGAATGGGACAGAACTGTTTCATTTTGTTGATGGATATTCATCTTGGGATGCCTACCTCACGTGCATGATGGTAGATGGTACATGGGGTGATCACGTGATTCTACGCGGCGCGGCAAACTGTTTTCAAACGTGCATCCACGTGATCAGCAGTCTGCCACATTGCCATGACGTAATGATTTGTCCAGAGTATGATGTTACTGGTAGCAACCGGCTTGTGCTGGGTCACGTGGATGAGCTTCACTATGTTAGCCTTATTCCTTACTCGAGTGATTTAAGGCATCCCTCCTCGCTCCATTTTGGGCTTTTGTCATTCTTTCTTGTTTTGTCCGCCATCTTCTTTCATTTTTACTTAAACAGATGTGCTTAAGATTGAAACCATTTTTGAAGCTCACACTGTGCTTCTTAAGGTCATGTGACCAGTCACGCCAGGAGCCCAGTCACGCCCATAATTATGCAAGTTAAGTATTTTCAGATTACGCCATGAAAATGGCAGTTGAAGCTCCCGTTTATTTTTCCATAGTGTTAAGTTTAAAGTCAAATTAAACGGAGAATTGCAAATTATTTTATTCCTATGCAATTATCAAATGTTTTCTACTCAACACAGTCTCACTCTCAACTGGAAACGTTATAGTTCACTCAAAACACCGATTAATTCCATAAAAACCTTGTGTTAATAGTCATTGAAAGAAAAACAAAATAGATCTTAACTACTATTTGTAAAATGTCGTAAAATTGGACCAAACTAAATGGCAAAAAATGGGCGTGACAAGTCACGTGACTAAGGTAGCTCCTTAGTGACAACGGATAAGAACATTTTTGAAGAAGTATTTACCGCATGCAAAGTTTCAAGTCGAAAAGTTAAATCTGCTTTAAACTAGACTACCCCCTTACAAATTTTAAGAGACCCATTCCTTAATTCACCAGAGTTATGTCTGATTACACTTAAATTCAAGAGTTCTGACCTCGCGATATCAAATTCAAGTCACTTGAGTGAGACAAAATGCACCTTAATGTGGCTTCAGGAGCAAATCGGAGTAAGAAAGACCGTAACTGGATACCTTTTCCAGTAATGGCATTGCTTCCATCAAAATAGCCAAATGTGCTATTTTTAGCACAAATTTTGCCATCTCGTGCGACACGCGCGCGCATTTTTTGCGAGGCCGCTGCCTAAAGGATAAACAACCAAAGTGGCGTCGGAAGTTGCCTACGTAGGAGATGAATGTATTCTGTCATAATTGCCTCCTCTGAATTTGAGGCGGAAAGTTAACAAAAACAGCAGATAATTATGGTTAATATTCCTTCAAAAAGCGTCTACCGGCAGAATATCACGGAAATAATACTTTAAATATAATAATTTTTCCACTTAACGTTCTCCTTGGCTTCGTGGCGTAGTGGTCTAGGAGCCAACCTTCCGTGGAGATGGTCCATGTTCGACTCTCAGCTAAGCTAATTTTTCTTTGTTGTATAATTTTTTTCGTTTGTTTTTGTTTTCAATAATATTTTTCTCCTTGGCTTGTTTTCCGTTATTCTTACTGCTGGTCCATTACAGCCTCTCGAGGTTTTTGCACTAAACGTATTTCTAGTGATGCTTACATAATATTGGCTCATTCTTTCACTGTGCATGCATTGCCTATCGAGATATGATGAAGCACTTGGAAAGTTCGGAGAGCACCCAAAGAAAGTCGCAAAACGATCGCCCGTCTCCTGAAATTCCACAAGAGAGCCGTGCAAAATTGCGTGTTCCCGCGCGCGTTTTTGGCGTTGAGGGTGACGCAGCTTGTTCTAAAAATAGTACATTTGACTATTTCGATGGAGCCGCGTGGACCCCGCGCTTGGGGTCTCCTACTCCAATAATGGCTCCTGGTAGCTCCTTATTCGCTATGCTGTTGACAAGAAATAAGACGTCTATTTTTCTTCATGTACAGTTTTTTTCCTTCAATGTTATTGTGACGGCACAAGTAACCTTTTCAATGCAAACCTTTTATGTCTCAGAAAAAGTCATACACAGTCGTCTTCAGTACTACGATAAACTGATTACTTTAGTATTATCAACAGATTTTGTTTGTTAGGAACCACCTTGCCTACAGTCCCCTGTAAATACTCCGTCATTAGACCTTGTTGTAGTTTAAGTCCTAGCAAAATGTGTTTACTAATTATTACTAGTGTCTCAGTTTGCGAGTAATGTCGCGGATTATTATTACTGTTTGCGGCGTGTGTGAACACTGGGTCTTACCGTCTGCAAGTATACAGGTCAGAAATTTTTTCTAGCATTTTCACTCTTATTAAGGGTCATGTAGTAGCTGCTCGGAAGAGAAGTCACCAATGGTGCGTTTTCCTGACCCCAAACAATACTAAAACAATTGGAAGAATCACATGTCATTGTTTCCTGTGACCAATTAGAACAGACTTTCCGAGCAGTAAGGTGTTAAGAACAGTTCTGCTCCAGCTGTTTCTTGCCTGCAGTCTCTGAAGATATGCAGTGTCGGGTTTACTCATATCTTAGAATGCTCAAAACACATTTCCAGTTGAATCTGTTCGCTTAGAATCGTTTCTGTTTCAGGTGCTCCTTATCAATCTGTGAATATTTTCAGCCAGGTTTCATTGAATTGTAATGATTTGTTAAGTATCATTTCTGTCTACCAGTAATCCTTATCTAGTGTGTGAATACAGATTAAAGCCTCTCATCATCCCCCGTCACGGGGGAACACCAATTCCTTATCATAATTTGTAGGTACGTTTTATAATAGAATTCACTTACCAGAGTATTTTTCTTATCATGCTATGTAACCATGTGTAAATATTTTACAAAGGCCATTGCTTATATTTTGGTGCATCAAGTAAATATAATTTATGGTAAAAATAGTTTGGTTTTAAAACGTTTCCTTAATCTACCTAGTTACTGAGAGTCTTTTTACAATAAATTATAGTTTAAATACTTATAAATTAAAACCTATACATTTTCTCGGTTGAGTCATCGGGGCGAGTTCATGTATGCTGCCATCTGCCCACCCCTTTGAGTTTTCTTTCGCTGAATCAACCGTTCTCCGTCTTCAGGTAAATTGCAAAACGTTTTTCGTTGTTATTCGGAATGGCATCTGTCTACTTGCTCTTAATATTAGGGTAAAAACTGTGAGGGAAAACTATAGCTGCAACTACAAACACCAACTAAAAAGACTTAACTGATGTTGTTATACATTCACCGTTTAAAAACTATCCGGCAAAGGTAGATCGTTGACTGGAGAAACTTAATAAACAGAAATGAAAGCCAGATGACCACATTAAACGCCACATTTGATCTGTTTGTAGGTCAGCACTGACGACAACGAATATGGCTTCGTGCACTTCTCCTCAATGACCTCGAATTTCTCGACAATGCTTGCATGAAAACACAAAATATGGGGTTTTAAACTTCCGAAATGGACCAAATAGCTCTTCGATACTGATATAATGGCTTTCTTGTATGGAAGCTGGCAGGAGAAATAAGCCTTTAATATCTGGCATCAAACGGTTCCTTTCTAACAGTCCTAGATCCCGCCAACAACAATGAAAGCAATGCCAAAAACTCCTAATTTGGGTATATTGAAAAATTTGTTGTAGTTTCATTGCTTAGTTTTTTTGTCTGTTTAAAACAAAGACAAATGTTATCTTGAGGCTGAAATACTGAAAAATGAAATTTTAATCACCCTTTCAAATAAGTGTCTCCCCCTCAATAAGCATTCGCTTGCATCCCCATGCATTCCCAGCCGCTTAAAATCAATTGGGCACCCCCTCCTGGGATTATTTCCAGATCCGCAGAAATTAAATTATCTGTCACCTTCTAATATATATTACATGTATACCTGATCACAAACATGTTCACTTACCTATAATACATCCTTAGCCAGAATTGAGAAATAGTGTTTCTTTTAAAGGTCTTTATTCCAAACAGAGCAGTACACAATAATGACATCATTTTCCTTGCATCATGGCCAGTTTCACCACCACAATTACAGAATCTGGAATCTGTGATACATACTAATGAGTCAAACCTTCATGTGGGACGCGTCCTCTCGTTGGCAACCACCTCACATAAGCGACCGAAAAAAAAAACCACCAAAATTTCCCCAAGTGAATAACTATAGTTGGAATCTCTTCGGAATAATCCCCTCTCATAAGCAACCATAACCACGTTTTTGGATGTGAGATGATTTTAAAATTTCTAACTGTTTTTATCCCCCGGTAGCAAACATTTGAGGCATTTTGATGTTGAATCTTTTGTTTGCTGTATGAAGTACACTACTCAAAGTGTGTGAAAATCTTTTACTGACACCATGACTGACCACTACCCTGCGAGAGCTCACACAGCGAAAATGTAGCCTCTGCTCGCAGGGTATGAAACTACACATCTTGTAGATTAGAAATTGCATGTAATGAATTCTGTTCCAAAATGCAGATGTGTTGAGACCTCGATCTTCTCGGAAGGGACCCACTGTTGTTCGATAAATGTAAGTGACCACCTCCCTAAGATGGGCACTCAATCTTTGCATTTTGGGTGGTCATCAACAAGAGTTTAGACTGAATTGAAATGAGAAAGAGGAGACACTTGGAAGAAGAATAGTAGCTACTTAAAAGCAGAGAAGAAACACTTGAGCTTTATACAGCAAGAAAAGGGGAAAGTTTATTGTTCCGAAATTTCTTAGATAACCGGTCTGGGCTTTATAGCGAACCATTTTCTTCTGTTGCTATAGTTTATCTTCCTAAAGGTAGGAAGTAGAAACTTAGCTGGATAACCCCTAAAGTGTAAGCGTTTTCAGAAATTTATACGCGTCTAATTGATTGAGAGTGAAGTTGAGCTATTTCTAGCATAACGCATAAGTTCGCCCCTGATGAAAGCCTTCTCGTTTCTGGCGGGGTGAAATTGTTGGTTTAATCTTTCTATCACCGCGGGCACTGGCAGCGAATTCGCGTACGTCATCTGAGTTACTATTATGGGCTGGCTCACGTGCTCGCGGTCTGAAAGATGGTAAGGAAACCTTTGAATTATAAAATGTAAATAAATACATCGAGTTAGAATTATCATTTGTAATCTTCGAATTATCGTTTCTTTCACGTCTTACCGCGTACTGCAAATCTTGTGAGTATTTATTTTCGTTTTAGAATTTTATTTCGTCTCGCTTTATTTACTGTTCGTTCGTATCTTTTGTTGTTGTGGCTATAATGGCCGGTAACCCGTCAAGGTTCTCAAAACACTAAATGACCGGCAGTCCCATATTCTCAGTAAAT